TACACTACAGGAAATGAGTAGGGAATTAAAACATTTTACTGCAAAAAGTCAAATAAACATAAAAGAGGCAGTAAATGGGGGACTACAAAAATATAAGATATATAGATAACAAATAGCAAAATAACACAAGTTTCTCCTTATTAATAAATCTTTTAAATATAGATTCTCTGTATTTATATGTTGTTTCTGTTACAGTTTGTGTTTCCTTTTCTTTATATTCCACATATAGGCTAAATCATACAGTATTTATCGTTTTCTTAGCACCATGGTCGGCAAATTGCGACTTGCAAGCCACATATGGCTCTTTGGCCCCTGGAGCGTGGCTCTTCCATAAATTACCACGGCCTGGGCGAGTCTATTTTGAAGAACTGGCGTTAGAAGAAGTTTAAGTTTAAAAAATTTGGCTCTCAAAAGAAATTTCAATTGTTGTGCTGTAGATATTTGGCTCTGTTGACTAATGAGTTTGCCAACCACTGTCTTAGCCTATCACTTAGCATACATTTGTATCTATCCATGTTGTCACAGATGGGAAGATTTTATTCTTTATTATTATTTTTTATATATATTTTATTGATTTTGTACAGAGAGGAAGGGAGAGAGATAGAGAGTTAGAAACATCGATGAGAGTCATCGATCAGCTGCCTCTTGCATACCCCCTACTGGGGATATGCCCGCAACCAAGGTACATGCCCTTGACTGGAATCGAACCCGGGACCCTTCAGTCCCCAAGCCGACGCTCTATCCATTGAGCCAAACCGGTCTTGGCTATTCTTTATTATTGCTAAGTGATATACCACATCATCTTTATCCATTCACATGTCAGTGGACACCTAGGATGCTCTCATATCTTGGCTATTATAAATAATGCTGCAATGAAAAAGTGAAAGAGCTACAAACTTCCAGTTATTAAAATAAATGTCATGGGATGTAATGTACCACACAGGGAATGTAGTTCATGATATTGTAATAAATTTATATTGTGGCAGATGGATTTACCATGGTGATCACTTCTAAAAGTGCATAAAGTTGAATCAGTAAGTTGTAAACTTGAAACTAATATAATATTGTATATCAACTATACTTTATTAAAAAACACATTTTATAACACACACACACACACACACACACACACACACACACCTGGCTGGGTAGCTCATCATTTGGTTAGAGCATCATCTTGATATGCCAAGGTGTGGATTCGATCCCATCCCTTTCCCCCATGGCCAGCTCTTTGTAGTTACAAGTCCTTGTTTTTATCCTGAAAAATTACAATCACCTGCTCAGTCATATCATCGGCATGCATCACTCCCTGACTTTTGGTCTGTATCATATCATTTGTAAACAAAATTAAATTCAGAGGAGTGGTAGTCTTCCCTGGTTGCTGGCAACACTGCCCCTTTTGTGGACCTCAGAAGTCATTCTAAGACAGGAAGCTCCTCTGCCTCATGCCAGCCTCAACCACAGGGTGAGGCCTGTGCTCACCACTGGGCACTGCTGAGCCTCAGGTGCCCCTGACGTCCTTGAGCCAGTGCAGAACCTCAACTTGTTTCTCCTCGAGGTTCTTAAAGTGATAGCATCCTGGGAGTGAAGCCCAAGATGAAACATATCTCCATCCCTTTCTCAGTCTGAAACCAAATCAAAACAACAATTGGATCACCTTGATGGTGAAAATTCAAGTTTGGCTCACCAGCCTTGCAACTTTTCCTTATCACTACTGTGACAAAGCAAGAGAATTGACTCCAAAAGTTAGTTAACTACTTTCACATCCAAAGAAATCTCAGACCTCAAATCTCACACCAAAAACCTGAGGAGGTGTAGTGGTGGGAGTGGGACAAGATTCCTTTTACTAGGTAACAAGAATAGCTTTCTCCCTCTTTCTGTTGTTTAGAAATTTAGGGACAAAGAAAATAGGGGACATAGAACATTATAAACATAAGGTAATGCTTATAATTGCAGTAGAAATTCCAAGAGAGAGCTTTACTGTCAAGAAAAAGACTGCTAGTATCTGTGCCTTCCATCTTCAGTATCACTATTCTGAAACCTTCTGATGCACGAGAATCTTCTTTATAAAATATTTTGCTGTCCTTCTGATATATGGGATAAGTCCTAGTGCCCCCTTCCCATAGCAAACCTGCCACAAATACAATCTGCTTTCTCTGAATACCTGTTATTACCATGCCACTCAAGGTCACTTGTGGCCAAAATTATTCTATATTCCTTGTTTTCTCCCCATCCCCTATTCCCGCCAATAAGCTTCCAAATTCCTAGGCACAAGGAAAAGCTAAAAAGCTATTTTTGCTACCCAAATTTCACATGAAGATAGGATTCCAGTGTGAGAGGGTGGCTTTTCTCAGCAGCATAATCAAAGGCTAACACAATCGCATGCCCTTAAAAGAGTTAACAGATTCTTCCCAGCCGTCCTCTGCCCTTTGGAATAATTTTCCTGGATTTGTTTCTCCACTTGGAAGGTTAAAATGTAAACCAAAATGTATCCCTTCAAATAGGTTAATAAATAGACTAAATGAAAAATCTCCAATTGCCTAGTAAAATGTCAGTGAACTAGATTGGAAATAATGGAAATAAAATCACCCAATGGGCTTCCTTTCCAGCTTGTGGGGGTTATACACGGCGTTGGCTCCCGCTGTTCTCCAGGCCTCGGAGCACATGGAAAATGACAGTGTTTACTCAGCATGCAGGGCTGTTCCGGGGGAAGTGACTGTCTCTGCCACCTGAACTTCGCAGGGGCACCTTGTCGCTCATTAAGGGCTCCCTGGTTAGAAAGCCACATCTCCACATTTAGCTGCTGTCATTGAAAAAAAATGATAATAACAACGAAAATATAAAAATGCTGCAGCCAAATCCTCGCCCTCTCCTTGTTTTTGTTTTCAACCTTGGCAATGTCCAAGGTCACAAAAACCAGTCTTCCATACGTCGTCAGGAGTGTGAATGCCCTGTATACACAATAATTGAAATGGTTTTCTGATTCACTCCTCCACCTCCTCCCTTATAAAGAAAAAAAGAAAAAAGAACAAATCCATCCTCTAGCTACTACGGAACTCAGGTTTGTCTTACAAAGGCTTGTTGGTTGTGGGTTAATGAACTGGTAAAGTCATCAGCATGCTGAGCTCAACATGGTAAACTGTTAGCCAGAGTTGAGTATGACTTAGTGATAAATAGATGAAGCAAGTTGCTCAGAGGAGTGCCCAGGTACAAAAGATCTTCTCCAAATTATCTTAAGTGCTGTCATAAGAAAATAAATCTGCTGCCCAGAAACTGGTTCACAGGTCATTGGTTTGATTTCCAGTCAGGGCTCATGCCCAGGTGGTGGGCTCCATCCCCAGGAGGCGGTGTGCAGGAAGCAGCCAATAGGTGTCTCTTTCTCATCAGTGTTTCTCTCTCTCCTGTTTTCTCTCTCTCAAAATAAAACAACAACAACAAATATTTAGAAAAAAATAAAGTAAATGTGCTACATTTAGGGGTTTTCAGGCAAATCATTTTGTCACACATTTCTCAGCTATGATAAAGTGAATGAAGACATTTTCTTATTTCAGTAATTTTGACATCAGTGTTTTTTTTTTTATCCAAGCTAACACAAGTCACCTATACATAGATAGGGCAAGAGGAAATACCAAAATTATAAAGGCTTATGTTTTTTGGGTTTTTTTTTACTGCCTGGAATTAAGATATTATTGTTTCCTCCCAAGAGATTCTTTTTCCTACCCCCAGGCACTAAGCACAAGAGAATGAGACAGCTAAAGAGGCTATCCCTTACAGGCATGTATGGAGGGGAAATATTTCAAATAGTTTTTAGCTGCTAGCTAAACATGTCTAATAAGGGATGGGGGATAAGAAACGGATTTAACTTTGGACATGTGCCAATTCTAAATGAAAAATTCAAGAACAGCCAACTTTGCCACAGGCACTCATTTACTTAGTTCCAGGAGTAAATTAATGGGACAGAATTGGAAGCTGCAGGTGGGATGAATTAATTGTCTTGCAGGGTTATTGGTACTGCCTAAAGTGCTTTGTAAACTAGAAGTACTCCATAAAGATGTCATTGTAAGTACCTTTATCATTGGGAGTAGAAAAATTAATAACGATAAAACAAATTAAGGATGCAAAGTTGGACTTTATTTTATTTTCATATGAAGAAAAACATGTCAAATTAGGAATTGTTATATGGGTAGAACCATACCATGAAATCCTGTCATTGAGACAAACAGATTATCCAGTTACTCTGGTTCAAAAGACACCTCTTTAGATATTATTTGTAGAGCTTCTCTCTCTCACCTTATATGTTTCTCTTTGCTTCATAGGGGCCAGAACACAGAAGTAATATATATTGATCATATTTGCACTGTGATTCTTATAAAATAATATAGGTCCCAGCATAGCTCCCATGAAAGCATTTTTGGCAGTTACATTAGAATTACTGTATTTTTTCTTGACTTCTGTGAATGCCAAGTAAGAAACAACTGTTTGTTTTTGTTTTTGTATTTTTTAATAAATCTTTATTGTTCATATTATTACAAATGTTCCTCATTTTTCCCCCCCTCCATTGCTCTCCTCCACCAGGTTCCCACCCCACCCTCTGCCCTTTCCCGATTCTTAACATCTATCCTTGCCTAGATCCTCAGTAATCCTTGTGTGTTAAATGTTTACTAACTTAATCTTAATAGCAATCTTGGGAGATCTATCCCATCATTGTTCTTGTTTACAGATGTGAAAAGATGAGGTTTAGAGGCAATGAAATAACCTATCCAAAGGTTCAATCCCATATCCATCTAGAACCCAAGACGGTGCATTCACCATGAGGAAATACTGTGTTCTCTATATGTGTTCCCAGTTACCCTATGGAGACTAATTCACTAACGGAAAAAGACAAGATTGCATTAATTATGTCTCTTGTGTTTCTTTTTCTCCCCTGTGCCCACCTCTCCCTCTGTCCTCTTCCTTTGTTTTATCCTCATTTCAACTCTTCCCTTTATTTTTTCCCAAAGGCAAATATGCCATGCGGGACCTGGTCCACAGGCTTCCAGGCGGGAACAACAGCAACAATGCAGCAAGCAAGGCCATGTCGGATGACACGGTGACAGCCGTCTGCTGCACCCTACATGAAGTGATCACCAAGAACATGGAGAACGCCAAGGCCTTACGGGATGCTGGGGGCATCGAGAAGTTGGTTGGCATCTCCAAAAGCAAAGGAGATAAGTAAGTCAGATGCTGTTGGTAGAATGGGTTCTAAGTGTGCCCGACAGTCCCTGGTTATGGGTATTACTATCCAATGTCACTGAAAAGCATTTGTCTCTGATGATCAAGAGAACAAAAACAGCAAATGGTTTCCAGTCTTCCCACCCCAGAGTGAAAGCTAATCTCACTGGTAATTTCAATTTAATTAATAACTCATGACTTGGTTGACTACTATGGTATTGGGAAGTTTCTTTCATGATAGATGATTTCAGTAATGTTCTTTTTTGAATAAAATTTCTTTTATGGAATAGCCACTTGTTGCATCTCATTGTTCCTTTATCTTTTTTCCCCACAATGTTAACAATCTGGATATACATGTTTAATAAGAAGTGTTGCACTGATTTGAGTCAAGCATCTTCCAAGTTATAGTCAGTTTCATGGCACAATGTTAACAATCTGGATATACATGTTTAATAAGAAGTGTTGCACTGATTTGAGTCAAGCATCTTCCAAGTTATAGTCAGTTTCATGTAATTTATCTCCTTTTTATATAGTGGCTAATTTGGGGTTCAAAACAGGTTTTTATAGCTGCCGATATTCTCCTCTCTCACATTTATTTGGTTATTAGCTCTCACAGTTCTTAAAATGAATTCAGAAGCATTGATCTGAATTTAGCACTAAATTCACCTTTCATCATTCAGCTCTGCTATGATAGTAGTCAGAGAAACAGCCATGGCCTTCTAACAAGCTTTAATAAAACAGAAATTCTTTATTGAAAATAAAAGTTTGGAAATTGGAGATGATTTTATAATTGGAAAAAGGAGAAATATCAATTTACTCTAGCTAATCAATAAAATGCTTGCAAATCTCTCTGCCTTATGTTGTCCTTTAAAAAGTATTTATAGAAATAAATTTAATTCAAACCTGATTTTTAAATGTAATATGAGAAAACACATTAAAAAAATGGACATACCTATGGTTCTCCATGTTGTGGACTATAAGTTTTATTTTTAAACTAGAGGCCAGGTGCACAGATTTGTTCACCAGTGGGGTCTCTTGGCCTAGCCTGTGCCCTCTTGCAATCTGGAACCCCTCGGGGGACATCAAACTGCCAGTTTCAGACCAATCCCTGCAGGCCAGGCCAAGAGACCCCACTGGTGCACGAATCCATGCACCTGGCTGATTTCCACCTGATCCTTATAGGCCAGGCCAAGGAACCCCTTGGGCCAATGGCCTCTAGTTTGCATATAAGATCTTTGGTTAATCTCTTCCCAACCTCCCCTTTTCCCACTTCCCTCTGAAATTCATCAGTCTATTCCATGTTTCCATGCCTGTGCATTGAGCATCTGCTCCCTGGTGGTCAGTGTACATCATAGCGACCAGTTGAATGGTCACTTAGGCTTTTATATATGGTTATCACTGCTTAAACACAAATGATATTAATGAGTAACACTGTCAAGGTGCCAATCACAATCTGTTTGAGCTGCACAACACACCATATCTTGTGAACACAATCCTGAGAATGGTCTGGGTTCCTGCTGCTGGAATGGCTGTTTCGAACACCCACCATCAACTGAACCAACTGTCATCTGCCCTAACTTGACACCTCTGGTGAAAATCAAATATTGTATAATTGTTAATGACTCTTCTAGGAGCTGTATACTTGCCATTTTGCAGTCTCAATAACTTATATTATTCTGTTCACATCATTTTAAACACTCATTGTGGACATCCTGTCACATCCATCTGTTTAAAAAAAATTTGTTTATTTGTTTCTAATCTTAACAGTTATATAGGTAATTGTGTTGAATGTGCCATTGTATTTTGTCATAAGACAGAAAAGCCATTAACAGACTCAACTGCAACATGTCAGTAAGAAAGTGTGTATTGTGGCTGAGTTAAAATCACTTGTCACATTAAAACACTCGATTGTTCAAGTCCTTCAATCAATAGGTATAGTTTTTCAAGTAGAAGTTGCTATGGTACCACTCTAGTGGATGGATTTATGTTAAAGGCTTAAAGAAAGCAATAATTCTTTAACCTCTGCATGTTATTATAACACTGAGCTGTATTGGTATTTTAATTGAAAGGTTAAAACCTGCTATCATTACACATACATTGTCTTTATTTTGTAACTAAGCAAGAGGTAGAAACAAAAAATTACTCTGTGTCAGAGGAATTTTTGCATAATTAATATATATGTTTCAACTACATTATCACTACCTGAATATTAATGTTTCTCTAGAGTTTGATTATTGTCATGGATAAATATCTAGCTAACAATGATAAAACACAGCAAAGCATACGATTTTATCTTTGTTCAGCATTGATTGTATGACATTAAAATGTACCTGAATCTATATATCCATGCAAAGATCTAAAATTCTCTGCCTTTAAGTCAAAGGAATTTAATATTATATTTAGAGAATGGTACTGGCATAAATTATGAACTCATTTAGCAATCATCCATTTTAATAAAATGAAAATATATCTGTTACTTAACTATATTATGTAATTCATCTCTCATAGAGGAACATAATTTAGAATTTATAATAACTATATTTTTTCTTTTAAAAGTACATGATATACTAATAGATTTTCCAACAGCCAATACTGGATTCCATCTCAGTATTAATAATAGTAAGAGTGATTGTTACTGTTAGCTGTGAATAAATGGGTGAAGAAAACTTAAACTTAGTTGGTCTAAATTGCTAACATTAAGATCCAGAAAAATAGTACACATTTTATATTCCATAATTTCTTTACAAAATGCTTGTTCTCACAACATCCATTTTACTCTGGCTCTCAAATCTAACCTCAGCCTTGTCCCATCTAACCATCTGCTCACTTTCTTTTTAGAAGACATTTGTGGTCTCGATTTAGATGTTCTTCTCTCAGGGTATCCAGGAACTACTGCCTCATGGGTCAGCTTTGGGGGTGGACTTTGCATTGGTTCTAATCTATGCAGCTTTAGGAGTTACCATTCAGATAAACCAGGATGGGCAAACTATGGCTCCTGGGCCAGATCTCACCCACCACCTGCTTTTGTAAAATACACTTGATTGACTCAGTCACATCATTCCTTTATGTATTATTTATGACTCCTCTCATGCTACAATGGCAGAATTGAGTAGTTGCAAGTGAGACCGTATGGCTCCCAAAGCAGAGAATATTCATTATTTGATTCTTTATAGAAAAAAGTGTGCCAGCCCCTGATATGGGCATGAGGTCAATGGCAGCCATTAGACTTGGGCAGCTGGCTGTAGAACCAGCTTGTTAGAACAAAGAATTTGCAGGTAGCTAATAGTCTTCCCTCACCACTAGTCTAAGTGACTTCCAAGAAGTTGATAGAAGTACACCCACATAGACGTATTGATCTGTCTGTTTTGAGATGCAGAGTGGCACTGAACCAAAAGGCAAAATATTTATAAGTTTCACAGGGTTTTCAAAGCCATGACTCAAAAAAAAAAAAAAAAAAATGATAGAACCACTAATCCATAAAAAAATGATAAAACCACTAAAGTGACCTTATAGTCTCACTATGGTCCAAAGGAGGGAATGTTAATCGTATGAAGGGTTGTCTTATAGATGCTTTCTCTTCCTCTGGGTACCTGTAAGAATGCGAATGGCAGCATGTGCCCACTGTCTGCGGCACTGCCCATCTTTTGCTCTTGGCATCAGCAGCAGGTGAAGAGCAAGTCCCTGCAGCCAGGCAGGCATGAGAGCCAGCACTGACTATGCTCTCACGCTTCCGCTGAGAAGATGAATATCATGTTCATCTCACTGCACAACGTGCTGTTAAAATCCCCGAATCTGATCCTTCCTCATGTTTTTCTCTTCTGTTCTGTTGCATAGTCAGATGCTAAACCTGTGCCTTCTGACTCTTCTGTTTGCATTTTGAACATTCTTTGGCAAATTGTGATGCGCTCCTGACTCCCACCCTCAGGGGTGTGTTGATGAGAATGAAGCTGGAGACTGGTGAACTATCTGTTGTGCTCCCCAGGCTGAGAGGAACAGCCAGAAAGCCAGGAAGATGTCTGTTCTTGCCATATCCTGGCAATCATGTGTCCACTCACCATCTTGCATGTCCTGTCTTTTCTTACCAGACATTCTCCAAAAGTGGTCAAGGCCGCATCTCAGGTTCTCAACAGCATGTGGCAGTATCGAGACCTGAGGAGTCTCTACAAAAAGGTAAGGTTTTATTTACCCTCTCAGCTCATGAGCGATACACAGGCCCTCAGCCAAAGGACACTGTACCTGGTCCTAACACAATCCCAGATGTGGAGATTACTTGTCTGAGTAATGGAAGCAACTGAAAGGGAAGAATTGATGACAAAGCAGAAGAAACGAATCACCAAATGTCCCCTGGACAGACCCAGGAACTTTCTGGATTGGACAAATCTGCACTCATAGGGCCTTAGCCTAGCTCTTCTGACGGGAAACAAGCTTTTTCCCCAAGCTTTCATATTTTATGATCAACTAAAAATTAATGAACCAAGGATTTTTTAGAAAAAAATAAAATAAAATAAAAAGAACCAGCAGGCATCAGCAAGTAGTTGTGGAGAGGAAACAGAAAGAGATAGGTAAAGCAATTCAGGAAGTCCGGGAACACTGGTGGAAGGCCCGACAGCCTGACCTGTGTTCCCAGCCCTGCCCTCTCCGGTTCCTGCCGCCGCCCAGCCATGGAGCATGAGGAAAGAGCTGAGTGTTCACTGCCCTCTCTCAAGGCAGGCAGGAATTTTTTCTAAATATATTTAAATCTTCATCCCCAAAATGGTTTTCAAATAAAACCTGAAGAGAAAAATGTTGCATCTAGAAACTTAGATTCCACACCTCATTTCCAAATGCTTCTAAAAAGCTATGCATAGCTTCTCTTTTTTGCTTAAGAGGGGAGAATTCTTTAACAAGGGTTCCCAGAAGTTGTTGTTTTGTTATGACTTGACTAGCAAACATGGGTAGTTTAGGTGATTGGTGACTGCAATATATTTGAGTTAACAAATAAGGGAGAAAAACATCAGTGATTACTGTGAGGACTCGGAAAGTATAACCAGGGCTGGAGGAGAGGCATGGGTGCCCATAACACCTGCCCCTAGGCCTCCTTGCAATCCCTGGTGGCCTGCATGGCAGAGGTGGCAGGAGAGAGAGCCCCTATATCTTGGCCTTCCTCCCCAGCCTACCAGTTCTGGGCTGGGGGTGATGTTCAGCAGCAAGAAGCCCACATTGGAGGAAGCAAAACCCATCTTGCCAGAGGGAAAGTCTGCCCTTTCTTAAGCCGATGGGAAAATATAAATACTTAATAACTGGCTCTACTTACGTAGATTTCCCCAAGGCCTTCCTATTTCCCTTAAGTGTTCATACTTTGCACTTTAAATTTATAAAGTTTAGCCTATGCATTTCCCCTTCAAGAGTTTCCTATCCCTTGAGAGGAAGCTGCAAAATGCAGCATGAAAGGAGCGTTCTAGATTAATTATATCCTCTCCTACCCAGCCTGTATATTAGGATAAGCCCTTCATCTCACATGTTGTGGGTTCCATTTTGGTTTACCTGAAGCTCATATACCAGCATCTCTGGTAACTGCCTTCTCGAGCCCCTGCAGCAGCCGAGTGAACTCGCACAGGGCAGGATCCTTCAGCTAAACAGACAGTGGGCTCTGTTAGAAAGAAGCCAGTCATTCTGAATCAGTGGTTATAGAAGCTCTGAGAAATATCAGTGCCTCAAATAAATCCACTCTACCTCCGATCCTTTGCTGAAATAATCCTCACATGTGCGTTGGAGGGAAACTGCTTTGGAGACTCAACAAGTTACTTGTCCTTGAATAGTATGAGTTTTCAACCTGGCTTTTTTTTATTTTTATTTTTTTCTATATCAGTGGTAGAGTTCGAAAGTATCATTGTCTTTCTGTTTCCATGTTAAAAAAAGAAAAAAAAGAATGTGTTGACAGGAATTTAATGGAGGTAAAACTTAAAAGTGAAAGATGGTTTAAAACGTGTTTCATACAAGGAGAATCAAGAAGCATGCACTGGAGAGACTGTCGGTGATGTTTGTAATCCACCCATGATGAGAAAGGATGGAGAAGGAGCTAATAATTTTCAAATTACACAGATGTGGAAGGAAGTGAGGACCTCTGTGCTCAGTATCTAGCTCAACGTTTACAAAAGCATTTCTTTTGTAAAAAAGAAATTTGAAAAAAACAAATTCATTTGTCTTTGGGAATTGTCTTTATTCAGTGGGGGAATAGACCTCTATCTTGTTCTTCTTTGACAATTTTCATATCATTGAAAAAAAGATCCATATCTTTTGCTTACCTGTGCGTCATATCTGTTTACAAAACTCCTAATTAGGCTTAGAACAGGTAGAGTTCCAGAGAAAAATACGAGAGCTGGAGTATAGCTACCTGGGTAAAAATGAAATACGGAATAATTATTGGCAACTTGATTCAGTCTGGAATTATACAGCACGGATGTTAAGGGATGACTTAAAAGTAGGAAAATCATCGAGCAAAATCTTAAAACATTCATGGAGTTTGCATAAATTGGAAGGAAAAAGGTGAGGTCATTATGGGTAAGAGGAAAAAGATGAGTGAAGACATGAAATTTGAAATGAAAATGGCAGATCTATGGGCCCACTTGCCACTGGCATATTTCTTCCTAGAACCCAGGCAAGGAGGCAGGCATCTCATTTTATGAGCTCAACTCCTTTACTAGTATTTTAGAGATATATTTAATACATCAAAGTATTCTTCTGGCGGAGTGTGTTGACTAATATAAAATTAGGTTCGATTCCTTGCAGCGAAAACATATGTGTATTATCCAGACCTTCACCTTCAGGGAGACCTGGACTTCGCGTTCTCCCTGAAGGGAAAACAAGTACAGGAGAATATTATCACACACCAACTATTGTTTAAAAATAAAAAAATGAATATGCCAATCCCCACATTTAGATAAACCAAATAGAACTTTAAATTTTCCTTATCATCTGTGTCATTGCAGAAGATGCTTTCTAAAGGAAAAAAAGATGAGCCTTAGGAACAGGCCTGACATGAGGATGAAAGAGAATCAGATCAAAAGTTCTTGGCTTTTTTGAACATCGGTACCTTAAAAACCAAGGCCACTGACCTAAGGGAGTACCTATGTTTGACTATGTTGAGGACAGTTGGGACAGCTGTTATGAAAGAAAGCTGATAATTTTTTCTTTTATTGGGGGGATGGACATAGGATTATAAAGTTATGGAAATCATTGCTTACAGTTCCTGATATAATACCTTCATAATCTGTATACCTCCCAAAAATAGTTATAGTAATCTGAACACAGTATTCTGTCAGAAGGACTCAAAAATACAGAAGCCAAAGCTGCATAGGTATCTCTTTCCCTCTCATAACATCTGGGTAGGCAGGTGGCCTGAGACCAGTGTGTGATCCTGGGATTGTCCTGTTGCTTTGTCTGGCACTGGGATGCTGTCCTTGCCTGTGTGGGCAAAGCTCCCTAGCCCTCCCCCTCTCACTGCAGCCCACAGGAAAGGAGGGGGGAAGAGAGGGCAAGGAATATCCTTTTAAGCAAGTGATACCAAAGTTGTCAGACTCCCGCTCACATCCCAGGTCCAAGAACCCAGTCATACCACACATCCTGCTGGGAGGGAGGATGGGCAGTGGCAGCGAGGCCCTTTTGCCAGGAGGAAGGTAGCTATGTTACCAGAGGAAAAAAAGGCAGTGTTGGCTCCAGACATCATTTCATTTTGTTCAAATACCTTTAATATCAATTGCAATTACTACCTAATGAGGCATATTATTCCATTTCAGAATGGCTGTGCTTATTCAGAGCTTCTTACTTGCATTAAGCAAAAATCTTTATCTGACACTTCTGCCCTTCAACACCATTCTGCAAAAATCAAATTTCTCTTCCCTCTAAAAGCCTTGCCCTCTTTAACATAGCCATCTTGTCCCCACAAGGCCAGCCCTTCCCGGGCCAGACATGCTCAGCTCTAATGCATGGGCATTGCCATGGCCTTCACCGTTGCGTTTCCTTTTCCTCACATGTATGCAAATTCAACAGCACTCCTTCTGCAATGTAGCTCTCAAAATGCATCTGTCCAGCCAAGGTTTATTTAAAGAATTGTTATTGATTTCAGAAAGGAAGGGAGAGGGAGATAGAAACACCAATGATAAGAAAGAATCATTGATTGGCTGCTTTCTGCATGCCTCACACTAGGGATCGAATCTGCAGAAGAAAGAGATGAGATGAATCTGCAGAAGAAAGAGCTAGGGAGCAAATAGTGTCCCAGAGGCTCATTACACTATTTGGTGGAGTACAAAGAGCACAGCACTTAGAATCAATGGCCGAAGGTTAAAGGCACCGCCTACCACCTCTCCGCAGTGTGAGGTTGGGCAAATTTTCCTGAGGCCTCTTGCCCATCAGTGCAGAATTGACTTTGGCTGAGAGGCAACAAGAAGTTCTCTGAGTCACCAGGCTTCTCGGTCAGTGTGCAAGACTTGTTCTCACTCCAGTTACCCAAACCTGTGAGCACCCCTTCCGACCAGTTTCCAGAAGACCAAATGCCCCCTTAAAATGGTCTGTGGCAGTTCTCCTAGCTGGCACAACGTTCTCTCCAGCCTGCTGGACATGACCTCAGGGCCGTAGGGGTTTGTGCACCAGAGTTGAACTTTCCTGAACCCTTGCATCATAGAGCCTTCGCATCCTGTCATGGAGATTGTGACATCTCTGTCAGTCCAATCGCAGTCGCTTGGGTTTCTCATCCATGGAGTGAGCAGCGTAAAAGTGGCTTCCCAGGATTGCTGATTGTCCCCAGTGTGATAGCAGTCAGCAGAGAGCTCCATAAAATGGAGGGGCATGTACCAACAAGATCACTGTTGTTAAATCTAAAACATTTCTCTGTGCTGCTTGGCTGACAGATGCTCTTTGCCATTCTGTCCACAGGCAGCTGGACATGTAGGTCCAGGATTTCATTTTGTCATATTCTCATCATTGTCACCATTCACTTCAGCCTACATTTTCACAGATTGCTTTCCTCTTGGTTCCCTCTACCTATCTCCTCCAAGCCTCTAGATGCCTAACCCCGTGTCCTCTCCCACAGTCATTCTCCTTGGCAGCTGTGCCTGCCTACGGTATTTGCATTGTAAACAGTCCCATAAGGAAGAGTCTTGCACAGTGGGGTTTAGTTAAAACAAATTAGGTTT